CCTACTATTCTGATCATTCTGTTAGTACATAGGGTTTCTGTAAATCAGATCTGACTTGATGGCATCTAACAACGGCCATTAAAATGTTGTTTTCAAAGACTTTGTAAGGATAAGTTAGGGAGGGGTGAGAAAGGTACCCAACAGTGTATTTAGTATTCTACCAATTCATTTTAAAATGTATATATTTCCCTATAAAATGAAGTTGAAATAGATACATGAAAAGGTAATCCTAAGATTGTTTTTCACAGTTTTGTTTTCCAATTATTCAACAATGAAAATTTAGTACTAATGTGCCCAAAAGAAGTCTTAACTTATAAGACTAAATTTGTTTCATTTGGGCTTTTTAATCTATATAGCTATTTCATTTATTATGATCCTTTAGGATCATCTGAAGGGATATAATAATTTGGGTTTTTTATTATATTGATTCTTTTATTTGTAGTTTTTCCTTTGATTTAGACTGGCCCAAGAGAGAGAAGCTGCAAAAGCTAAAGAAGAAAATCCAAAAATGGGAAACACTGACTTAAATACAAAGATGGGAACAATCGATTTGAATATGAAAGCGGTTCCAGGAACAGAAGTACCAGGACATAAAGTGAGTCTCCCTCTGGATCTCTAGTTAGCCTGAGGACCGACTTCAGACCTACAGCCAAACAAGGGATCGTGGAGGTCATGATGAAAGTTGCTTGCATTTTTCTTACTGTTTTGGCAATAAGTAAAATGCCTTAGGATCTTCACCTTTTGAACAGAAATTGGGGTATATCAGATGTGTATGGATTTGCAAAGTAATAATGGGTGCTGAGGAGCAGTTAGGTCAACTTTACCTTTTTTATTTAATGGCTGCAATTTTGTGAAGCAGCCCACATGATTTCTGAGATTTGATAGCTGCCTGAATATTCCCTTTTTTTCTATATCACCCTTCTCATTGAGAGCTATTTTTTCCTTGAAAAATTTTTTAAAAATTCAGTTAAAGATTTTAAGAGAAAATCAGTTTTCCATTCAGTAATTCATATACGTTTTGTTCTGTCTCGTTGATTGCAATCCCTACAGTAATATTGCATAATTCCCTTCCTGTGTTTCTAGTCTCTTCTTCCTCCTTTCCTATCCTTTCCTGCCTTCTAAAGTTTATCCTTGGTCAAATGCTGCCCTTGTGATATCTATTGGTTGGTTATTTTAAGGTGCACGTACCTCAACTACTGTTATTATTCACTTTTTAGATCTGTGTATAGTTTGGCTGAAAATCAAACTTCAGTTGGTGAGCTTAGTTCCAAGCCTAATGAATGATTAAGGACCACACTTTCAGTGATACCACCAGTCTATTAGATTGATAAGCTTGATCCTTTTTATAATTTTGAGTTTTATGTCACATTTTTGTCTCACTTTGTCCAGGATCTTCTAACGTAATCCCTTGTAGAGCCATCAACAGTGGTAGCAGGCACTATCTAGCTTTGGTCTCATCCTTATAGAAGCTGAGGGTTATGTAGCACATTACTCTATTGGACTCAATTTTTCCATGTGCCTTTGTGTTAGACAGGGTTCTCTAGAGAGATAAAACCAGATTGCTCATAATTTTATATATTTATTTATAAAGGTAATTAGATATATAACAGAAGAAATGAACTGTTAAATTATATACAGATAGATATATAATACAAGAAATGAACAGTTAAATTATAAAGCAGTACAAATGGCTCA